AAACCTGAGTTTTTATTTTGAATCATATTTTGGCCTGAAGCTACTTATTTGAGGGAATGGTTGGTGGCAGTGGAAAAGAAGAGTGATTTAGAGTGACGTAGCGACCCCCCTTTGTGAGGTAGAGGGAGGCCGTTACAGCTTCTGCTGGGCTTTGCTCCTCTTCCTGTGCCCGAGCGGGGATAGGAAGAGGAGTGAAGCCGGATCTAAGCAGTCTCCCACCACCCCACTGTCTTTGCAAAGACAACAGGGGTGTGGGATCACTTGGGCCCCCCTTCCCTCCTTTGGCCCTCAAAAATGTGTAAAATATATTTTCATACTGAAAAGTTTGGAGGCCCCTGGTTTAAGAAAAAAGGTTGGGAGTTTGATTCCCCCTGCGCCTCCTTGACAAGGGCTGGACTCAGTGATGACAAAAGGTTGGGAGTTTGATTCCCCCTGCACCTCCTTGACAAGGGCTGGACTCAATGATCCATTGGGTCCCTTCAGCTCTGCAGTTCCAAGATGATTTGGTATAAAATTAGGAATTATTATGCTTGATGGTTGTTTTTTTAATCACTTATAAAAATTAAGTATAAAATTAGGAATTCTTATGCTTGATGGTTGTTTTTTTAATCACTGTTCTGCAAAGTTAATGGCATAGACTGTATCTTAAGGAGTTCATACAGTATGGTGGGAGTGTCCATTTAGATGCTGTCCTTTGAAAGTGCATCAGCACCTGTGGTTATATAAACAAATCTTGTGTATTTAGAAAAACGGGATCTGGAGATTTAGGAGAAAAGGCTGTCATTAACTGCCTTTTAAAAAATATATCTTTTTAAAAAGGAAGATGAGTAATTGAAGGGAAACATTCTGTCTCATACCTAGCCTGCCCAATGTGCACTTAGTCTATTTGAACAGGGCTCTTGTAAAAGCCCCTTTCATCATCCCCCTCGGGAAAAAATATTCCATTTTAAAGCCTTTTGTTTTCCCGCATCAGAGACAGAGCTGTACTGATGGTGAATCACATGCTTGCGCTCTTCATACAGCAAACTACATAGACTTTTCACAGAATCAAAGCCTCGCTACAAAACTTTCTCAACAACAGGAGACTGACAGGCAAACAAACAAACAAAAAATGTAATCCCAAAGTTTATTTTCTGTACCAAGGTTGTGTGGTCTGATGCAATACTGATAGCTTAATTCTCATGCAGCAGGGAGAATAGACTAAAACCATCACCAAAGAAGCAGGATAAAAAAATGAAGTGAAGGGGGCAACAGAATAAAAACTTTCAGTTTGTAAAACCAGATTAAAACCAGCAGCAGGATAAAAGTGCAATGATAGAAAAGCACTGAAATAGCCTGGAGCAAAAAAAGAAAAAAGTCTTCAGCTTAAGATGAAGGATAAACAGAGCAAGCAATGTGTTCTGGGTAAATGGTCATTTGTCTTGGTCAACAGAGTATCAGGTACAAATAACAACTGCATAGAGAAAGCGTAAGAGAATAAATAGCTCAAGTCTCAAGAGTTGCCCCTCTTCACAGTAACTAGCACTTTATATGTTAAAATTCACTCTGTATTTTAAGTAGAAAAAGAAAATAGCTCTTTGCTTACAATTGTGATCCGACAGATTTTTGGCATCACCTGGCAGGACAAAGTTCCAAATAGAGTAGTCCTAGAACAAGCTGGAATATTCAGCATGTATACCTTACTGAAACAGCGATGTCTACGTTGGCTTGGCCACGTCGTGAGAATGGCTGATGGTCAGATTCCAAACGATCTCCTGTAAGGAGAATTAGTGCAGGGAAATCGCCCCAGAGGGAGACCACAGCTGTGATACAAGGATATCTGCAAGCGGGATCTGAAGGCCTTATGAATAGACCTCAACAGATGGGAAACCCTGACATCTGACCGTTCAGCCTGGAGGCAGGCAGTGCATCACGGCCTCTCCCAATTTGAAGAGGCCCTTGTCCAGCAGGCCGAGGCAAAGAGGAAGTCACAAAAGCAGCAAAACCAGGGAGCTGGACAGGGGACAGATTGGATTTGTCTTCAGTGTGGAAGGGATTGTCACTCTCAAATTGGCCTCTTCAGCCACACTAGACGCTGTTCCAAGTCCTCCATACAGAGCACGTCACCATAGTCTTTCAAGACTGAAGGATGCCTAACTCTAATTACAAACAGAAGGGTAAAAGGAAGATTGCAGTCTCCACACAAGGGAGAAACTGCCTCCATGACCACATGGTCAAGAGAGATTAAGAGCAGGAAGAGCAAAATAAAACAAGCAGAATGGGAGGAAGACCTAGACGGGCTTTGCTTTGTTTCATAACTGGTTGCTAGGAAGTAGATCAGGCTTTGTTTGAAAATGTTATTACTCAAGCATAAAACTTAGAGAGCACTTCCTTTCTGATAATACTTAACTGCTTTCAGCCTCTAACTGACATATATCATTTAGTCTAACCCTGAATTTTATGGTGAAATTTAGTTCATTCAACTGAGGGATTGCTACTAATGGGAAAAAAACCTTACTATCAGCAGAAAATGCTGTTTTCTTTGGATAGAAATATGTCATTTTGAAGAATGATATTTGATAGCTTTGTTGGATAAAAGCTAGTACCCTGTTTTTCCAAAAATAAGACAGGGTCTTATATTAATTTTTGCTCCAAAAACACATTAGGGCTTATTTTCAGGAGATGCCTTATTTTTTCATGTACAGCAATCTACAGTGATTCAAATACAGTCCTATCATCTTCATCTGGTTGCTGCACAATGGTGGAGGCTGGGGTTTCATTCAACTGGGGCTTATTTTTGAGGTAGGGCTTATATTACGAGCATCCTTAAAAATCATACTAGGGCTTATTTTCAGGTTAGGTCTAATTTTCAAAGAAACAGAGTACAGTGGTGCCTCGCACAACGGGCACCTCGTAGAGCGATGAATTCACTCTATGAGGCCGGTTTTGCGATCGCAAATGCGATTGCAAAATGGTGCCTGCATAGGGCGAAAATTGCAGAGTGAAGGTCGGTAAGCGGTTCGCTTACCGGCCTTCGCTTTGCGACCCGCCAATCAGCTGTTTGGCGGCTAAAAAATGGCTGCCGGAAGCCCCAAAATGGCCGCGCGCAGCATTTTCGCGCCCTCGTTAAGCGAGGGGAGGGCGCGAAAATGGCTGCCGGCCATAGAGGAACATCGCTGAACGGTGAGTAAAGGAGCCTTTTGGAATGGGCTTTTCTGCCCCGTTCAGCGATGTTTTCACACAGCGAGGGTTAATCCGGAACGGATTAACCTCGCTGTGCGAGGCACCACTGTATATTGTTCAGAGATCTGTAAAATGACTCTTTCTTTCCTAATGTGTTTTAGTATATTCTGTTCTTCTATACAAATGTGTCTGGTGCCGAGATCTCTAAAATGATTCTTTCTTTCCTAATGTGTTTCGGTATATGCTGTTCTTCTATACAAATGTGTCTGGTGCCCATGTTTACTCTTCATTGAATAAAAATGTGAAGGCCAAGCTTTTGTTATGCTTTCCTCAGGAAGACAAAGTAGCAGGTTTTCCCATAATTGAACACTTGTAACAGCTATGCTCTGCAATGCTTAAGATTAGAGATGTCTTCATTAAGCAGACAGCTTAAGAGGACAGGAGAGAAGGAACTATGGAGATGTGTAGTTGTCTATATTCACTTCCTTCTTCATTATTCTGAGATGTTTCCAATTTGGGAAACATCTGAGGGTCAAAGTGTACAGTATGTTATGAGAAATCAGCTTCTACAGAGACTGCTCCATCAAGTGGAAAAAAAAGATGTAACTGTAGTAGTAAGAAAGAGACGCATATACAACATTAAACCTATCCCTAGAATATAAACAATGTCTTTCTTTACATGTCTAATTTTGGAGTGAGGCCTTTAAAAAGCAGATCACCTTGCTAGGGAAAAGAATCTAAAAGCAGGACAAACATATTTCTTTGAACATGAGTTTTGGCTCTGAGAATAATGGGGAACTGATAAAGATATTTCTTGTTGGTAGCTCTCAAGAATACATCTGCGCTGCATATGAATGGGTGGGATTCGCCTCTCCCCAGACTTCAGATTTTTCCGTTATTATCATTGTGTATTAGCTACAGTGATTGTTCGTAGTCAAGACTAAATCAACAAGAAAGCAGAAAAGCACTGAAAAACAACTCAAAAACTAGTATGATCTAGAGACAATAATGTGTTGGCTACGTAGAGATGACTTATATTGAATAGCTTTGAGAGATGTCTTAAAGAGAAACACAGCAGAAGTTTTTGGTACTCAGCTAATAGTTGCCAAATTGATTATACGAATGTAAAAAATAATAACGAACCATTCATCAGGGAACTGATGCACAAACACTTGACACAATAGGTTTAGTTAATGTTTTGGACAGCCAAAAGTCTTATTTTTAGGAATTTGGCAACTATTTGCAGTCTTTGGTGGTGAAAATAGTTTTGATGAATGATCATACTCAAATTAATATTTTTGACTACTTATCCATTATACATTATGGATGAATTCAAAATCAGGTGTATCATGCAGTCTCATACACAGAATTTTATGAAGGGAGGGGGGTCTAGACAATGCTGTCTAAAAGCTCAAATTTTCCCTTCTTCTTCTTCCATCTTTTCCCTTCTCCAAAAGAAACAAGCAATTAAAATACAACATGTGCACAATGCCTTTTGATTCATGCTGCTCTGTGTTATCTGTCTTATTTGGTTTTTGTTACGCATGTGAATTTTTCCTGGTTGTAACACAGTAAAACAAGATTTCTGCAAACATGTATAGATTATCTTTCTGATCTGCAGAGGGCACCAGATCATTCTGTATTCAATTGCAGAGACTAGAGCAATGAGGTTTGTAAGGTTCGCAGTTGTAACTGTCAGTCAAAGAAGTACTTGCTCTCCAGTGGTCATTGTGAGACACAGAAGATTAAGTAGGTGTGTTTTTCCCCCATTCATGACTGTATAAAATCCAGTGCTTTTGTTACTGTTACTGTTTCTGCTTTCTGCTCATATCTGAATCAGCCAGGCTGTGAAGGTGTTTGGAACTCTAGTCCAGCAGAGGTCCCAGGACCATAGTAGCAGAGTGCAAGGACACTTTAAATCAACCAGTGAATTGTGAAAGAGACTGAGAATGCCACAGCTTCATCTTCCTTTAAGAAATATTTGTAGCATTTCCTGAGGGACAGAAAATAAACTTCTTTGGAACAATTGATTCAGAACTCCCAGCCGAATCAAGAAGACCTCCCCCCCATCTTGCTCAATTTCATTCAAAGAAAATGGAGCTAGTTCTGATGGACCTTCAGTTTCAGGGGTGCTGTTTCCATAATCGCCGGTGAACTGCATATCTGCTACAACAATGAACACTACCACACACTGGGCTCTTCTGTTTCCGCCTGTATCGGTCAACACCACTGAAGAGGTCAATGATTCCATCCTTTTTGGCAGCAGGAGTGCCGAGGGATTCTGTGAACAAGTCTTTATCAAAGCCGAGGTCTTCTTGACACTGGGGATCATCAGCCTTCTGGAGAATGTCCTCGTCATCCTGGCAGTCATCAAGAATGGAAACCTACATTCACCCATGTACTTCTTCCTTTGCAGCCTGGCAGTAGCAGACATGTTAGTGAGTATCTCCAATGCCTTGGAAACCATCATGATTGTCATTCTGAGCAATGGCTACTTGGTCATTGACGACCACTTCATTCAACACATGGACAATGTATTTGACTCAATGATCTGTATTTCTTTGGTTGCCTCCATATGCAACCTCTTGATTATAGCCATTGACAGGTACATTACTATTTTCTATGCACTTCGCTACCACAGCATCATGACTGTGAAGAAAGCTCTGGCTCTTATTGGGGTTATCTGGACAGCTTGTATCTTTTGTGGCATCACCTTCATTGTCTACTATGAGAGCAAAACAGTCATCATCTGCCTCATCACCATGTTCTTTACCATGCTTTTCCTCATGGCTTCACTTTATGTTCACATGTTCTTGTTTGCACGCCTCCATATCAAGCGCATTGCAGCCCTCCCAATGGATGGGGTCCCCCACCAGCGCACCTGTATGAAAGGGGCTGTCACAATCACCATCCTCCTCGGGGTCTTCATTCTCTGCTGGGGACCTTTTTTCCTTCACCTCATTCTGATCATCTCTTGCCCCACCAACCCACACTGTATTTGCTACACCTCACATTTTAACACATACCTGGTTCTTATTATGTGCAATTCAGTCATTGATCCTCTGATTTATGCGTTCCGGAGTCTGGAGATGCGGAAGACCTTCAAAGAAATAGTCTGCTGCTGTTATGGTGGGAGTTCAGGACAGTGCATGCTCTGAAGGGTTGACCTCTAGAATCTTTAAAGATATCCGAAAGTTAAAACCGGAGCAAAATTGCTAGCTAAGTGCCGCATTGCTAGGAGTGATCAAAATCAAGCTTAAGAGCTGGGAAGTATGGCAGGGAATCGCTGTGATTTTTCTTTGTCATGCCAGCTTTCAGTTAATAGCTGTGTCAAAGTCTGTGTATGTGCAGTTTGTTTCCTTGCTTGTAATTAAAGCAGAATCACACTAGTTTGTGGGACCATGGCAGCATTTCATGGTTACTAAGAAAATGAGGTGCATATCTCTTGAGAGCATCTATTCATCTCACATTTGGAGAGAAGGACACACCTCAGCAGATACCTCACACTACATTTACTGGGGAACTTGCGCTTTGCCACATTCTCTCAGGTTGGTCATCATGGATGGAAATGCTTCATGGAAAGAGGCTAACATTGTAGTCATATGTAGTCTTATTAAGTGTGAATAAGTTTTTGTTTGTTTGTTTGTTTTTGATAAAAGAGGGACTTAACATTCAGGGGTAGGGGAGGGAAAACCTTGGAAAAGAGGAGAGGAAGTTGAACTACAGCTTCCAGAATTCAGTAGCCATCCTGGCTGGGAATTCTGAGTCCTCATCCAAAATTTCAAGCTCTGTGAAGCCTTATGAAAATGGATGTAAATGTCACTGAAATCCAGTGGTCTGACTTCTGAGTGAACTTACTTAAGACCGCAGTGTAAAAAGACATTCTTGTTCTCCTTCATCAGCAAACTACTGTACTACTGAAAAGAAATGTGTGTGTTGTTAGCCTTGTTTTGAAGAACATGCTGTAAGCAACGTGTATAACGAAACTTGTCCTTTGGCCAGAGAAAAGATAGACTAGCAGCAGTGTTGCTTTTAGAGATGGCAACTTTCCTCTGCTCCTCACCGCTGAGGCTTCTTAAGAAATACAGGCAACATCCAGATCACACCTATGCCTATTTCTGTGTTTCAAACATGGTGAGAGAACCCAAGACATTTTTCTTTTAGCTCTCTGTAATAAAATCCATGCAACTATTACTGCTTCAGCTTTCCCACAGCTAGCCAAATAAATATCATTTTCCCTCCAGGACACTATCTAAAGCATGTGAAGATTGTGAAGATGGTTATTGCATTATATTCTGGGCATTTTATTTGGTGTTTCTCATTTTACTGTATAAAGAATTGTCCTGTGACACAGCCAATGTTATGTGTATAGAGTTGTGCCTGGAAAGGATTCTTGTATGAATGGATTATATGATGCTTTAAAATATCCTTTCCCAGCTGGGTGTTCTCCTGAGGTGTTGGACTACAACGCTCATCTCTCATAACCTTTGATCCTGGTGGCTGAGGATGATGGGAAAAATAGTTTTCTGCATCTGGTCTGGTATACACTACCCAGCAAAATGAAACAAAGCGTCCCAATTAGTTGGAAAAATTCCTGAAGTTATTCCAGTCATTTGGTTTCTAGTACAATTCTACACATACCTACTCAGAAGTAAGCCCCACTGAGCTCAGGGGGATTCACTTCCATCCATGTACACATAAGACTGCAGTCTACTTTACTTTATCTCCTCTGCCATTCATCAAGGTTGGATTGTTGATAAAGCTAGATTTGTAATCTGGTTCTTCTCTGCCTTTGTTTCTCTACCTTCTTAATCTCATTTCATTTTTTTCTCTCACCCCAGTTCTTGAAAAGTTTACTTTTTTGACTACATCTTCCAGAGCTGGCTAGGGGAGTTTTAGAGTCCTATAAGTTGACTTTTTCAGGCTGAGACCCACCCCATAAGATGCTCTGAGAATATTCTAGAACATACTGTGCATGTTGTTAGCTACTGTGAACACTATCAACCCTTGACTAGTCAAGGGAATAACCATAATGGAAGCATGCTGAGACACCCTTTCTTTCTGCTTATCTGTAGGTCCATATATACGTTACATGCAAATACATGCAACATGTGTCATACCAGTAGACCCTGGGTTGTTTTTTTCAATGTTTCAGAAGAATCTGTCTCCTAAACATGGCCACACTTACTAATAGATGGAGCTAATATTAAAATTTGTCCTAGCACTTCCCACTGGGAGAACAGCGATTCCAGTGGCCTGCCGTAAGCTTGCCTGCTGTTCTCAGGTGTAGTGAAGAACAATGTTCCATCAGCATTTTTGACCTAATATGGAGCTACCAGAGCAGTCAACTTCTTTATACAGAAGGGAGGAGCCATTTTTGTCCTTTGCCTCATAGAATCATAGCAAAGTGAAATTGGAAGGGACCTAGAAGGCCATCCAGTCTAACCCCCTGCTCAAGGCAGGAATACCATCAAAGCATATCTGCCAGGTGATGATCTAAGTTTTTCTTGAATGCCTCCAGTGTTGGAGCACTCACCAACCCCTGAGGTCACTGGTTCCACTGTCCTACTGCTCATGCCCTGCTCCCAATTAAAATAATTGTCAGAATTAAAGTTCTCTACACATACAAAATTTATACAAACAAAAGACAAACCAATTAGGTTATGGTCCATTTTCTGGAACTCTGTATAGTCACTGTGATGTAGAAATTAATCTTTTCAAGGGTTTCAGAATTGATTGAAAGGAGCATACGGTCATGCCAGCTAGGATATGGAGTTATTGAAGAAAGAAACTTTTTCAAGTTCTGGGAGGCAAAGGTGTTGCTCACAGGGCACCCACATATTATTCACAGTCTAGGACACCTGAAAAGAATTTTTGTAGGGCAACAAAAACAGTGGCCTATGTTTGTACATCTTCTGAGGGAACATTTTCCAAAGAACACTGTTTAGCTGAACAATGCCTATAAATATGCTAGAAATTTGTGTGTTATTTGTGTTATTTGTGTGTTGCAAATAACTGTGGATGCTTGGAATAATGACCTCTTGTCTGATGTGAACGGAGAGTTTTTCCCCAACACACTGGTCTTATACAGCTGTTTCCTGTGAGGGAAAAATAACATGGTAGTGATTCGACTGTCTTTCATGGATGGTGTTCATAACTGAGACTCTGAAAAAGAATGAGAACATTATGGTTTCACTATAATATTACACATGATCAATTAGGATGGTAGACAGAAGTGTGGGGTGACCAGCCCAATACCTTTGACTGTTTCAAATTTTTATGAAGGCACCAATACCCCACTATTTGCCTTTTAGGATGAGGGCCTAGCTCAATTGTGGAGAACCTACTTGTCAGAGAAATGGTCCCCGATTCAGTCACTAGCATCTTCGGATAGGGCTGGAAAAGTCTGATACATTTTAAGTAACCCAACATTAGGAAAAAGGAATTCCTTAAGTGCTGTTGGTGTATGATTGTCACAGAAGGGGCTTTTCTCTCCTCCCACAATTGGCAAAATCACTTGATCTGTTTCATGATTCATCTTCAGGATGCAAGCGTGCTCTTCATTTCAAAGTTTGGTTTCTCAGAAATGAAAACTGGTCTGAGTCACATCGCTGGATTAATAAGATTTTAGTTCCAATGTCACTTTATCTGTACTATATTGCTTGGCCCTGAAGCCCTGGAGAGCTGCTCAAGGAGGAAAAATGAGGCATATCTTAGCATCAGAGCGGTTGTTCAAATTCCTTATGATCCTTTTTATATTGTGCAGTTCTGATTGCTGTGATATTACAACTCAGGGTAGTCTTTTGTATGTTATTACGGGACCTGATGTATTTTCTGTTATATTTGTGGCTATCCTTTTAATAAGTTTTATTTAATTTCTACTGGATGCTCTCTCAAGCTGCTCTGCTGAAAAAGTAATAATCTCGGAAATAAAAGTGCTCTGACATCACCTGCCAAGTGTTCTGTGCTTTATATAATATTAATGGCTATGAACCCAATATTGGCCAAGGCCTTCTATCTTGCAACCAGGAAAGCATGCACTGAGGCAATCCTGGCATTTTACTTTTACTACTTTCCTTTGGTAATTATTCTTACAGATTGAAAATGCTCTTCTAGGCTGAAAAGAATGCAGAAGGAGGAGAAGGACAAGGATGAGGAAACGGAGAAGAATCCACTAAATGCTGCCACCGCAGGTCTCTATCCCAAATGGAATGGCTCTGAAATCTTCCCAGCCAAACAAGACTGGCAGGGCACCCATCTGCTATGAAGAGCTGCCTGGAGCAGCAGCACGTTTCCTGAGCAGTAGGGGTCCTGCCATGGCAAGCAAAAATAAATAAATAAATAAATCAACAGATGTCCCGCCCCCTAAAAGTTCTCTGGAGACATGAGGGGCTCTAGATCAGTGGTTCTTAACCTTTGTTACTTGGATACTTTTGAACTGCAACTCCCAGAAACCCCAGTCAGGACAGCTGGTGGTGAAGCCTTCTGGGAGTTGCAGTCCAAAAACTCCTGAATAACCCAAGGTTAAGAACCAGTGCTCTAGATAAAATACTCTCCCCCACAAACCACTCCTGTTTCTAACTCACACCTCACCCCAAAAATCAGTTCTTTGGAGACAACATGGTAAGAAGGGGCCCATACCTAGTTTTAGACAACAGCAGCAACCCCGAGATATGATTCTTTCCATTTCTCGACAAAAATGAGAGTTTCAATACAAGGAAAGATGTAGGAAACAGGCAGAGATCACAGTTTGGGGACTGGTCAGGTAAAAGGTAAAGGTTTCCCTTGACAATTTTGATCCAGTCATGTTCGACTCTAGGCGGCATGTTCATCCCCGTTTCCAAGACATAGAGCCAGTGTTTGTCTGAAGACAATCTTCCATGGTCACGTGGCCAGCGCGGCTTAGACACAGAACGCTGTTACTGGTCAAATTGAGATCAAATGGCTTCATCCCAAGATGAAGCCTGGGTCTATATTTACATCAAGGCTAATTAATTTTGCAATACAAGAGTATGTCTACTTCCAAAAGAAATAGCTTCACCTAGTAGTTTCTGGTGACTGCTAATTACTTTTCCACAAGTGGGGATTCTTCAGGATTGAACATTGTTTCCCATCAGACAGGCCAGTTTAGGATTATCGTCCAGCAAATCATTGGCTTTGTAGTTGTAGCTTTGCTTTTGATTAGTGTTTCTATGCACTATACACCCTCAAGGGGAACATCCCACTGATAACAGGGGACATAATCTGTCAAACTTTGGGTGATTAAAAACTAGCCTAGAATGATCTGCTGCTGGCTACCTCTAAAGGCAGCTGCCTTTGCGCATCCGCCTGTCTCTCAGCTGGGAGGTGGGCCCATGTGCAGATGCAGCAACAGCAGGCCAGGTCCTGGAGGGCAAGCCAGGCCACTGTATCTCTAGATCATGGCATCAGAGGCAGCAGGACAAGGTGGGGAGGCAACGTGGGCAATGGGAAGGAGACGGGGAACAGGCTCTTGGGGGGGAATGAACCAAGAAGTTTGTTAAATTGGGAAAAAGTTTGTTGATTTGGGATAGTTTGTGTTTGTGTTCTCCAGTTGGGACAAACCCAAACTGACCTGAATCAATGAATCAATGATTTTTAACACACTCCTTGTTTTGTTTTTGCATTCGTGTCCATCTCTACAACATATCTATGCTTTTTCCACATGGCCTTTTTCCTTCTCCTAGAATCCTCTAAGAGAAGGGAAACTCTGACTTCAAACCCACACTGAGGCACTGCTATTGTCGTCCATGCCGTGATGGAGCAGGCCAGGTAGGTGGGGCTTGTCAGCCTTGGAAGGCAACCCATCTAGGAGAAGGAAAACTCTGATTTCAAGCCTCCACTGCCTTGTGGCCATATCCACTGATGGAAAAGGCTTCAGGAGTTAACCTCAAGGCAAAATCCAGAGCCGGAGTCCCGGAGGCAGTTCGTGTCGTTCTGGCAACTCCTGCGACATTGCTGGAACCAGTTGTATTGCCTCTCCATTGGACTATTTCAGCGACATGGAGAGGGGGGATTTGCTGCTTGGGTAACAGCCTATCCTCCATATTATTTTACCCAGGCTTCGTGCTCCGGAGAGGACACTCCAGCTTCGCATACAGCATCAAAACACTAGACGCTGTTCCAAGTCCTCCAGAGCATGTTACCATAGTCTCTCCACATGGACTGTGCCTCTTACACTCTCCCTTAATCCCATTTTTACACTTAAACTCTTAATTTCAGTAACCTAACACAAATAATAAAACTTAGAACTTCAGAGTTGGAAGGGACCCTATGGATCATCCAGTCCAGCCCCTATCAAGGAGGCAAAATGAGGAACTGAACTTCCTACCGCACCTAAACCACTAAGCTACCCAACAGTCTGTGGGGAAAAAAAGGCATTTTGCTCTTATTCTCATTAAACAAGCAGAAGTCTGGACTTGTCAGTTAGTGTTGAACTGCAAATCACTCAGAAGTATACCAAGATTATACAGTGTTCTACCCAGAGTCTATTTAGTCTGTTCTACTTAGAAAAGACTGTTCTACGTCGTGATCAATGGAACCACAATAAGCACAAAGGCATCTTAGCAGAATTAATTGGATACAATGAGGATGGTGTGGTTGACAGTATAAAAGCAAAGCATGCTGCTTATATACCGCCCCGTAGTGCTTCAAGCACTCTCTGGGTGGATTACAAATTAATTATGCAGGCTACACATTGCCCCCCCCCAGCAAGCTGGGTACTCATTTTACTGACCTCGTAAGGATAGAAGGCTGAGTCAACCTTGAGCCAGCTACCTGGGATTGATCCCCAGGTCGTGAGCACAGTTTTGGCTGCAGTTCAGCAGTTTAACCACTGCACTCAGTGGTTAAACCTATTGATATTCATCTCAGTCATACTGATCATTATACATATTTAAACTATTGCATGGACATTAAATGAAACAGACATTTCATTTGGTACGGTATGAACCACATCCCAATCATAATTTAGAATTAGCTCATTTAGAACACTGCGTATGCACTTTCTCCTTATTATCATGTAGTTACAACAAGTTTGTATCACGCTGCTTCAGTTTCCTTGGCAGCAAGGATCTTTCTTCTTGTGGTTATGTTTCAAGCACGAAGGAATCAACAAACAGAAGCCAACGTTTTTTGAGTTTATGAAGGACTCCTGTAAGAGGAACCATGAAAAGGCAATCCACCAGCCACTATGCAAGAGATCAGAACATTACATTTCAAAACGAGCTTGTTTTACTTGTTATTTCTCAGCGTGAAGACTTTTCTCTATAATTCATCCAGTTATGCAGGCAATTGACTACATTATGCATTATGAAGACACGCTGTTGCCACAGGCCAGAAAAATACAGGGAAGTATGTTGTGGTTCCCTCTAGTGATCAATTCTGATATTACACCTTGAAATTATTTCTC